GGGTGTTAAAATGGCAAACCAACATGGCTGGTATCTGAAACATGTTTAACATCCAAGAAAAGCTAAAAGAGATCAATTTTTGGTGTGTTTTAAAGTCCTTTCCAATCATAAATATGCAGCGCACATAAGACAAAAGTTTGAATGAACAGTGTATGAAACAAACACCGTTACAGAAAAAAATATAATCTCAGTCGTCCTCCGTTGCAGATTCCTTCCCTTTAGAGATTACACTTTTTTTAGCCTGTTGTGTTCTGTATTCCTAATAACATATACTTCCTGTTCCCACAGTAATGGACTAACTATGACCCATGATCGGACCGTGGTCAGTGGCCAAGGCCCCCCTCTGTGTCTCCCACGATGACTGCTTGTGGGTAAGAAAAGCATGTTCAAATCAACAGATGATTAAAGACGTTTTTTTTTTTCCATTTAAGCCAGCTCTGCATGCTCTTAAGTTGCATCATCTTCTCTAGGATGTTACATCTAAGACTATTGCAGCTGTTCATGTTCCCACCCAGGCTCCAAAGACAGTTATYAACCAACATGACTCCAGGCTTCTGAAAAGAGCTCGGTGACCACAGGGCACAGCAAGTGACAGGAAAGGAATCTTGGTGTGGTTTGTTGATGCTATTTTTAGGTCTTTGGATGAGGCATTTTGTTATGTGTTCCTTTTAGAGTAAATCATGCCACGAATTGTTTTCACTTATTCTCATAATTGCTAGTCAGGTAGATTGGAATAGAAACAAAGAGGGAAAATGATGTTATTTAAGGGAGGCTTTAGAATTTAGCAACAAAATGTACTTAAAGCAGCCTTTGTGTGTTCAAGGACTCAAAATGACTCAGCTATAGGAGAGACACTAACATTTTCCTACATGGGCAAACTCTAAGTGTTCTCAATGCCCTTGGTTTAGACGAGGCTTATTTTTTCCAATAATAAACTATATCAGCCAGGAATGTGGGGTCGTTTCCTTTGAGCCCACAGGGCTCCTCTTAAGAATTTGACGGGTTGAACAGTGGGGGATTTTAGAACGATTCTTGAATCACTCTTTTTATGTGACTGCTGCAGACTTGTGACTTAGAGTTTTGCATTGATATGAGGACTGTCGGACCATTTTTGCCAACATTCCCGTTGTCTCTATAGATTTTCATACTGATAATGTAATGTAACTGATGGCTTGATCGTGCCTTGATCAGCCCAGATTAACTCTAATTACTGCCAGATGGATGATGTTTTATCATCATCTGATTTTTCTTTTTTTAATCTCGTTGAGCAAATGTAATTTTTCAACAGCTATCAAATGTACTGAAACGTTAAATCAGTGCAGATTTGTGACGTTACTTATGGTACATATGCTTGTGTTTTGTTATTTAATCAGCAAATGTATGCCAAATAAATTATAATAATTTTCTCAGGACTTTTTCAGTTTCTTAAAACATTTCTGGAGGACTTTTGTGTTTTTAGTGACTTTCCCTGTTTCAGTTGATTGAGGTTTGTTTATGCACAAACGTTTTTTTGACTAAACCAGTAAAAAATTCATATTTTTCTCTTACTTTCCACTTTCTTTAATAAATTGCTCAGGCTCATAGTCATATTTCATAAAACATATCCAGCCAAGCTTTAGCTGTTGAGCAGATGGTCTCACATGTGACTGTAGAAAATGTTGGTTCACAGGAAAGTTTGGAGTTGGCCTAAAAAAGGTCCTGTGGCTGCAACACAAGCCCAAATCAATACCCCTCCATTACTGTGCTTAACAAGTGCTTGAGGTGTTTGTGCTGATGTAGTTTTGTTTTTGTTGTTGGTAAAACATCCCTTTGTTGGTCATATCTGTCAAATATATATATTTTAAAGAGCTTTTTGTATTAACCCTTACAAACCCACCATACTGTAGTCTTTTTTATCACTTTTTCTTTTGTTGCATGTCTGTGCCATGTAAACTTAAATTGCKTTGACATACTGTATTTGTTTCAAATTGACACATCCACCAAAAGGCAAATGCCTTTTCTATCATGAAGAGATAAAGTCTGCCCTCATTTCTCATCATCACTTCTAACCCGGGTGAACTAATATGGAGCAGACAGTGTTTATTTTAAGGCCTAAAAATCCAGATGCCATTTTTATAATCTCATAATAAATTATCTTTTAGGAATAATACCAATAAAACCCTGTCTAGACCATGTGCTCTTCCTGTACTTATGAGCTGAATGACAGCCATTGGCATGCTAACAAGTTGAACAACTTTGTAATATTTTCGRCAGTGGTTAGACATCTAAATATCAACATAGTCATTATGTGAATTACTTATAGTTTTGTGACAGSGTTTGTGTCACAGTCTTGCTGAAGCACATGTAAAATACTTGCATATGTAGTRTTTATGCTAAATGTTTTTTTTTCTAACATTTCATTGATGAATGTTAGTGATACAGACCAGCTGCTCGGTGGTTTTGTAYGATGGTTTGACTGTCGAAGGAAGGCATAACCTCCTAAATTATAATGTCCACAAAAGGGTATAAAGCCACATTCATGTTGGTTTCTGCTCCTTAATCACAAGTTTTCTCCACATGGAAGCTACTGTGCCCCCCCCACCACCACCACCACCACCAAAAAACAAAACTAAAAAATCTGGATTTCATTAAATTACACTACAAAGCATGTGACATCAAGAGGAGTGCTGTTGAACTTGGATGCTTCCTCTTCAATACCATAAGGACCATCTGTGTCTCTGGAGAGCCAACATTTGTGGCAGTGCACAGTTTTCCCAGTGCAGACACTAAGAAAAGATTCACCCAGAGCCTCACCTCACATCTGGATGACCCAGAGGTCGGAGGACAAGGATGTTTGGGGGTTTCATTCCAGTTTTCTCTTGTGCTTGGATTGTCTCAGCTGSTTTGCCTCATTGTTCGTATCGCGCAGCTGACATGACAAGGGAAAACTATAATCCGTCCTTTTTGTACTAGTGCTGAGTACTGAGATGGGTCCATTGAGTGTTGAAAAGGCTGTTGTTCTGACATGTTGTAAATTTTTGAAAATGCCTTTTAGATGAACCTTTTTAAATTGACAGTTTCTTTAGTCCTTGAAAATATATATTTGGTAACCATACTATCAGTACAGCTTTTAAAAAATATGACATCAGCTGCATGTATTTGCAGTTTTGGTTCTACTTCTGAGAAATTACTAAATTTGGCAATTTATTACCAGTGTTTGGGTTCTCAGCATATTTTTCTACCCTGTAGACTAATTTAAAACAATGATATCAGGCTAAACACGTTTGTAAAGTTGTCCCCTATTCAAACAACACTTTGTGGCAGCGATATTAAGCCTTTGAGACCGTTTTACGAACATATCTTTAGATAATCAGCAGACAAGTCTTTCCTTGCTGTTTTTTTAATCACTGTCAGTGTGTTTGGTTAAGAATGCTTGTTCCGTTACAGGATGACAAATTGAAAAAAATAAAAGCAGGCTTTGGATATAACTGCCAAAACATTAGAGCAATCTCTCTTGGCATAAAGCCAGAAGACTTATGAGGCAGCCAGTCTGTTACTAATCAAAACCAAATGGTGGGAGCCTCGCTGAGCAAAGGGTGCTAAAGCAGAATAAAAAAGATAAGGCTGAGAAGAGAAAARAAAACAGTTTAAAGAAGAGGATAAATGGTCCTTTTTTAAACAGTTGAAGAAGCTGAATAAATGTGCATAGTGCTGTAATGTTTTAACGCACAGGATGGAGCTCCTATGAAAGGGATTCGTTCTCCCTCTCCAAGGCAGCAGGGAGGAGACCAGATGAGAAGACGGACAGTAGAGAGGAGAGAAAGGGGTGGAGTRGAGGGAAAAGAAAACCCAGCCCCTCTTACACCACCTCGACTCTTCGGCATTCAGTGTCAGCAAAATACCTAATGTGATCAAGATGGAAGAAGTCTGGAGATCTTTCGTGGCTTCCCGGCTTTCTGCCTGCCTGAATGCGAGGATACTAAAGGGAGTCTTGAAAGGGGCTCGCACACATTTAGATTAAGGACTGCTCACAGAGTAATCAGGCACTTGGACAGACTTGGATTCAGATTTTCTAAACGGGAACGATTTGCATCTGGTTGATGAATGAGAAGACTGCTTATGAAACATCTCTGGATAACTAGACTTGAAGCAAATACTGAACCCGTGGCTTGTTTCTTGGATTACTTMTTCATCTACTGGAGAATCACAATGATCAGATGTCGGATTATTTAGTAACAGACTGTGTCACCACTGGATTATTTACACAGCTTAAATAGAAGTCTTGTGTGAAATAATTGTTGATGTGTAAGTTTGGCTGTCATTTGTTGGCTGTTGGTTTTTGAAACAGTTTGGTAACTTTTACCAATAGATACGAGATGTCAGAGCAACCCATCTGTTTATATGAAAACAGTTTTTAAAAACAAAAGGCATGACTCTTTATAACTTCAGCTTTTTACGAAACATACCTAATTCCACACTATGCATTTTTTATTTGATTTCAAAACATTTTAGGAAAATTGGTTTTGTCGCCACTGAAAGTTTGTCGATCACATTTACATACTTCTACATGTAAAACAGTTTTTAGTATGTCATGTCAACTAACTAATTTAGCAAAAAGATTAGAATAAATCAAAATGTGCTTCTTTTGGATGTACAGATAATCAGTAACAGAATGACATAAAATACAATTATTCATTCTTAACAGTATTTTAAAGTCAATCTGTGTAAATCATAATCATACTGAATTGTAGAATATCTGCTTTAATTCAGTGCTCAATTTAATGTTTTTCGGACTGTTGTCACAGCTAAAATGAAACWGTTTTAACCATTAGTTGTTTTAAAATGTTAAAAACAAACAAGTACACAGTAACATTATATGTGACAATTCATATCTTGATATTTTAGAATATTTGCCTCATTAGTTTTATTCCCTGGAAGATTTTTAATAGGCCGTAACAACTGTTTTTACTTTACATAACTAAATGTAGATGGTGGGCTTTAATGTGAAACTCAGAAACACATTACTTGGAAACTTATTGGTTTCCCATGTGAAATCAACATAACAACGCTTCCTGACATTTTATACTGATCCAGCTGAGTTTATACTTCCCAGGGACTTGTGAATACAGAGTAATTGCCACCCACTTGAACTTTAACTTCACGACTTCCTTTTCACGTGAGAAGCGGAACAATATTTACCATATTGACRTTCGCAAATTCAGTTACTGTAAACTTAGGGCAAGTGAGTACTTAATGTTCCTTACTTCCATTTTCCTTCTCAGTTACAGCAGATCTGCTTTTTATATTAAGCCTGGTTTAAATAGCAGCTCTATGGGATAGAACGGGGTTTCCATCATGCTGGTCGCCATAAGAAAAAGAAGTTGGGAAGAGCATGTGACTCACCCATCAGGTTTAAAGTATAGTTATGATGATCTGGATCTGGTCTGCTGTCATGGAGTTGACAGKGATGGGGTTTGGATTGGCTCAGGGGCTTTGAAACAAGGCAGACGGACCCGGTGYGCCTCAATGCCAGAGGGGTGCCCACTGTCTAAAGAAGATGTAGGTCTGGTACCTTTTGATGCAGCTTCTCTTGTTGATGATGTCATTGAATCAGAACATCTGATGCTAAATAAAAACAATGGAAAACTGTCATTGGATTTGCRGGATTCTAGTTATGGCCCTGAGCATCTTCCAACCATTTCTGTAGTCCTATGCTGTCAGCCAAACAGTAGGATTTCTAGTGATAATATTTCTTGTACAACAGATCCCAATGATCAGGTTGAGAAGACTCTTCATTATGAAAATGACATTGACTCAGAGATTAGCCAGGGTCCCATCTGCGATGACGAAGTTGTCTTTAAAAGTCCACAAATCTCTGATGAAGAGCGACAATACATCTCTATCTCTTCAAACAAGGAGGCTTCATTGTGTGAATCTGCTGGTGAGCAGCCTGGCGACATTCCAAACTATCAGGAGACAAAGGAGAGCCACACAGAGAGTTACAGCAGATCTCCTCGAATCTCTGAGGCCGCACTGAACCATTCCTCTGCAGTGGAACCTCCAACCCACTGCTCAGATGTTGCTCAAGGATTTATTTTTATCTTGGACCAAGCTGGTACAAAAGCACCTGTTTCTGTGCAGCAAGATTTGGAAAACAAGATGGAGCGTAACCATGCAAAGCCACTTTCTGGCATACCTATGGAACCAGTAGTGACTGCTTTATTAGATGGAGAAATACCTGGATGCATGAGCACTACAGGCCAGAGTTTTGCTTGCAAGCTGGATGGACAGAATGATTTAGAAACTCTAACTGAAACTGCTGGATGCAATCATTGCTCAAGAAATGTTCAAGGAGAGCAGGATTACTGTGCTGTGGTGTTGGATCAGGGTAATGATTGTGAAATATTTAGCCAGACGTTGCTGGAGCAGTGTAATGTTGAAATGACAGCAGGGAACTGGCCTCATGGAGAGGAAAGTGCACAAGGAGAGAGCAGTGATGGGGAAACATGTGTTGAGCAGGGGGCTGCTAACACGTTGGATCCTGGAGTCAAAAAGCAGCGCAGCTCTTTGACATCGAACCAAACTGTATCACTCAAACCACTGAGTGCTGGACATTCAGAAGATCACTCTCAGACAAACACTATCCAGTGTGCAGATCAAATGAAGACATGTTTGAGTAAGTCAGCAGAAAATATTGAGCAGCTGAAAGAGCTGACTGTTTGTGAAGATCCACCTTTATGTTATCCTACGGAAAATAGTTGTTCAAAACTAGAGACCATMCCAGAGAACAGCATCGATGAACCTGGAGACAACACTTTGCTGAAATCACTAAAATGTACCAATGGTGTTATGCAATACCCAGTTCAYTCTATCCAGATGAATGATAAACATGAAGCTACTGAGCTATGCACAGAGAACCTGCTGCTGTACTCTGAAGAGGTCAATGAGGGGCTCCATGACAACCAAACCTCTGGTTACTTCAGTGAGTCACCTGCCTCAGAGGTGGCAGATGGTCACAGGGAACACCACAGGACAGAGGCCAAAGTTTCTGCAATGGAGGAGGTGTCAGAGACCAAATCCTCGACTGCTTACAGCGACRCACAACTGTCCTGTTCGGGCTGCAGTGGAACCAGTGAGTCTGGAGTTCCAAAAGAAGATGATGTGGTCAAAGTGCGAACAAGAAAGGTAAGATTAAATGTAAAAAAAGATGTAATGGTTTAAGATATGAAAAAAAAACATTAATTGTGGTTCAGTAACTGTGATTGTAACGTTTCAGCTCCTCATATTTTGTCAAAACGATCAAGTCCTTCCAGAGGATAAATGCCTTTGCTCCAATTTATTTGTCCCATTCTCTGGCAAGCATCTTGGAGACACTGACTTCACTTTCACATGCTTACAGATTTGTAAGTGGGGGGATCTGTGAAATGTTTTACTCTTCCTCAACTGCACATTGCAAAACAAGGTCCTATAAGGGCATGTGGACTCTAATAGTGGAGGATGTTGGAAGATTAATTAACCTGCAGAGTAGAAGACATACAGAAGGCAAAGGTTGTATGTTAAGATTTTTGCACACTTCTAGTGAAGCAAGCTCATTGTGTACAATGCTTTACTCTTATTTTCATAATATTTGTTTGAACTGAATGAGAATACAAGTTTATGTTCAACTTCAGAATGAGAAGGTCACATTCTAGTGTGAGGAAATCAAACTTCAATCCCAGATAGCCATTCAGTATGATCTCAGATATGCACAAAATCTGTTGTGTGGAAATTAATACATACATAGTAAACATCAAAGTGGGAAATGCAAAAAAAAAATGAATCTGATAATATTTACCCCTCCTTGGTACCAAAGTAAGTTTTCAGCATGGTTTGCATAAATGTATACAAAGAGATGCTTAAAAATGGCAAAACGGAAAGAAAAAAGATGCAGTCAGGCAAATCTCATTAAACCCAGGGCATATAATATTCATCATTTAGATAAGAGAAAGCAATAAGAAGCCTTTGAATGTCGCAAAGACAATTATGGAGCTATTTTTTATCAAAATTATCTGTCAGATGACAGCAGCAGCAGCAATCTTGGAAGATCTCTGGCTTTATATTGTGTTAACTAATGATTATGTCCCCCGTCGTCCATGATACTGCTTCAAGACTGAGTTTGTAAAAAAAAAGGCCATCTGGTCAGCATAATAGCTTTGAGATTAAACTGATATTGGTTTTTGTTACTGTGTTTATTTGTTTTAGCAACAAGGCCTTATCCTAACCCCATGGCTAAAATGGCTTAACAATCATTTATCTGGCACCAGATGACTTGGCAACATCCCCCTGAGTGCTTTCTCTTGCTTAGCCTTTCTGCTTGTATTTATTAACTGTTTGCTGGGAGGATTGTAGAAACCTCAAAAACAAGAAAGACACTGTAAACACTAAACCACTAACATGGATCCCTAAAATACTTTGCATCTCTGATGCAACTAAAACTTGTATTTTTTTACACAGCTGTTTTGTGGTTGTTATTGCCATCCTGAGACAGATGCTTTTGTTCATTCACCAAGGCCTCGTAAAGAWGTCATTGTTTTACAACAGTACAATGTTTCATTGTGATGTTTTGCCAAGGACACAAAATGTAGCAATGTGCAAAGACTCCAGCTAAGAATGCTGGTTAAATTTTTAGCATGAGCTTGGTCCCTCGATGTCTACATGCTCCCTCAGCAAATCCAACACAATCTGATTTTGAAAGGCTGATTGGGCACTAACTGGAAAATGAACACCAGCTCAAGTCATATGGCACAGTTATAGCTAAGTAAATGGCTGAGGCGTTCGCCCGTTGCTGAATCATTCCAGGATCCATAAAAGTGTCGTTTATTAGAACAACACACGTTTGAATTTCCAGCTAATGTTGTCATCCACACACACTCACACACCCTGCTGATGTCATAAGACTGAGTCACAGTGACCACTTCAAAAACATTTGCAATAAAATGTACTGTATAATTTTTAATCCTGCATTGTCCAGTGAGGTTGGATTTAAAGGCTTTGGAACAGACACAGAACACAAGAACCAGCCCTACTGCCACAAATCCACGTGTTTTAGAATGAATGTTCAGTTTACAATCTGTATGCCATGAGTTTTGCCTCATAAAATACTTAGCAGGATCTGCCAGCAGTGTAAGGACTAACAGGCCAGCCATGAAGTTGCCCTCTGGAGGGATGCTCACAAAAGGAGCCACTCTCATTATTATGATTTAAAACATGGCTGAAAGGAAGTGGAAATAAGAAAAAAATTATTTTACAAATTTTGGACTGTTTATGCAGTACAAGCCTTTTTGATGATGACCTGTGTTGTCTGAATCAGAATAGGCTTTACAATGTCAGATGGCAGAGTTTAACTCAACTTGTCTTACTGAAATTAAACCACTTGAGGTCAGTGTGAGACTTGTTATAAAAGCTAAAGTATGGGAATTGTTGATGTCTTTAAAGTGATGGAGGAGATGACATAAAAGAGTCAGTAGTTTAGTTCTGTTCTCTTCCTCTTCTGTTTACTGATGTGGAATCATCATGGAAAATAGTTTCCTTGTGTAGACTGTGAGGATCTTTAGGGCTTCAAATGTAATGTTAAGACTCTCATGAGATGATGATACCCTTCTTTATGGATTCATCTGTTTACTCAGCGTGAACATGCTCGTTTGGACTCCATGGTGCTGCTGCTGATGAAGCTGGACCAACTGGACCAGGAAATCGAGAATGCGCTCAGTTCCTCTGTGCAAAACACCCCCAACCTCTATCATCTGGTACACACACAAACATGTTACTGCACTAAATTTGACTGAGATGCTCCTGTGTTTCAGACAACTCTTTAGCTCAAATATACATCTGCTATTAATGTGACTTGATGTATTCTAAGTAATTATCATCTGAATTAAATAAAGGTTGTTTTCTGAACCAGTCTACAGAGGTCTGCCAAGTCCTTCTCRGGTTGACTGAGGGGATCACAAAACCTGCAGTGTTTTCCTAATCTGTGTGCACCTGGTTTAATCTGCTAAAATATAAACAGACTAGACAATAAAATAGGAGAACAGCATATATAATTATTAAAAGAAAAATAAATACAGCAAGAATTGCCATTATCCACACCTCCATAAAGTCCCACTGAAATTTGGCAGCAAAGCTAGTTAATGTGGGTGAATTCGACTTCTCTGGATCTGAACAGCAGTGGGAGAGATTTTTATCATTCCCATTCATCTTCTGAATAGATCTGTTCTAAATCATCTTTTGCAAAATACTGAAAGAATGAAGGAATGCAGGGTTTAACACGTTTGTAATGTATCTGTACAGGAGAACGCTCAAGGATCTATGCCARCAGCTTCACAGCCTCTCCCACAAGCACATGTTACAGCTGTTTTTTCTTCAGTTTCTGCACCATCCCTCGGAGCAAAGCCTAAAAGTGRGGTAAGTCTAGCAGCATCATTGCACTTTATACTTCACATCCTCACAGGGCTTCAGACGTTTTTTCCCACTTTGTGGCTATGTTTCGAAAGTGCAAGTGTTTTTTTAGCACCTTTATGACTCAAAAATAAAATTTTGGAAAAAAAACTGTTGTGTCTACAATATTAAAATAAGGGTTTTCAGCAGTTATATAGTCAAGYTTGAGCTGTGGCTCTGCCTTCTCTCTGTTTCTGCAACTTTATAAGAGCAACATTTGAACAACTGGAGAGATTCTAACTCAGAAATGGCACAAGTTCTTTCCCAACTAGTCTAAATGGATGTGGATATCTTGTTGAGAACCRTATTTTTTCTTTGTTTATGTGTTTTTGTCAGACTGGGAAGATGTGGTAGAAGTGCTGCGCTAACTTCATGAAAAGTACMACACAGATACATTTTGACTGAAATATTGGCGTATTTAGTTCAATAAAAAGCAACTCATGCACTTGTTTATTGTTTATCATGGAGTTTCAACTCMAATAAAACAAAGGAACACAGATGGCAAACACACAAACAAAAAGGGAAGTTTCCYAACAGGAATGTCCTTCAGCTCTATAAGGATTTAGTCAAGCAGAGGATAAGACTCTATAATTAGCTGCTTGCAAGGATCTAGTCCCCATCACCCCAACAAAAAGGGTCAGAAGGGGAGTCTGGAAGGTGAAAAGCCAAGACAGGGGGAAGCAAGGGAGGGACACGCTTCAAGAGAGATGTCTCTTTAAGCCCGTTGCTTGCTCATTTTATGATTTGTCAGCCTCAAACTCAAGCAGTTAGAAACAAGATTTTAAATAGTTCATAGTTTACACACACTGATGCACAGAAGGATGGCGTCAAAAAGAATGTTTTTGTCACTTGTCTTAATGCAACAAAGCAAAGTAACATTTATCCATCAGAATTCCTGGACTCTAGTAACATTCCTGTCTTATCTTTTGTAGTTTCACATACCGCTGCGTTTTACTGGAACAAATGACTCCAGAGAGGAATTGGTTTGGTTAGTGTAAAAGGCACAGATCAACAGGTTATATGATGTGCAGTGTTACCAGTCTGTGGCCAGATGTTTCCAAAACACTCATTCCATCTGTCACCCGAGGAATCTGGCTAAGCTTTGGTAAACAGTGCTTTCACTGCGCCCAACAGGAGACTTTTTACAGTCGAGGCTCACAGCTGATGACTTTGTGAGGGGAATTCTTATCAACTAAGAGTTGTGGAGTCATTTCACATCTAAATCTTGTGACACATAATTCATCTTTTAAACAAGATAAAACAAATTGTCTAAATGGTGTAAACACAAAGAAGATATGAGAGGAGAGGGACTGTGTTTGGAACTTCAGCTGCTCTGCTGTTGTGTTTTATAAGAATGTACGTTGAGTATGAAATGCATAATCTATAATTTATGGAAATATACAAGAGCAGAATGATTACTATCATTTTCTAGTCATGAAAACACTGTTATGTGCTGAGTCAGAGAAAAGCCAGGGCTTTACTACACTGCCTGACCCCCCAAAAAATTAAAATAAGAAAAAACATCGCCACCAAAAATAAAACGGTCACACTCTAATATTTCGTTGGACTGCCTTTTGTTTTGATTCCAGCAAGCATTCGCTGCAGCGTTGTTTTGATTAGCTTCTGCAATGCCACAAGATTTATTTCCTGGCATTGACATCTTGGAATGCCAGCTCCATCAGGGAAGAAGAGATCCATTGATGGAATAACCTGGTCATTCAGCTGACCTCATTTTTTGAGCACAAACTATTGCTGAACCTAGACCTGACCAACTGCAGCAACCCCACATCATAGCACTTAGTTAAATTGAGGTGGTGACTTTTTTTTTTTTTTTGGGGGGCCAGGCAGTGTGGCTGTATATGTTTTATATGTGCAGATCATTTAATTTCGCAATTAGAAAAAAAAACTCATTMTTCTCATTCTGCACCCTTATCACATTTATTGCTCACAACCAAAAGCTGAAGGATGTACATCTCCTACTAATTAACTTCTGGAGTCAAGTAGGCCTAGTAGTCAAATGACTTTAAAAAACACAACAAATGATAATAATTTGGTCAAGTTTACAGATATTGAGGTAAAATTTGATATGGTGTTAACTGAGAGTCGTTCACAACAGATACTATAATCACAACAACATGAGATTGTGCATAATGTTATTTTTAAGGTTTGACCAAAATGACTRCAACTCTGTTACTTCTCAACATAAAATGATCTAAAACTCTGACATAAAAGGTGGTTGGTGTTCTGCACTCTTTCAATAAATTCTAGGGATTTTATATGCTTGTAAAGCTGAAAAAAGTTGATTTTGCACCCCCC